GCTTGGCAATCTTCTCACCTCTTTCTCGGCCCTAGGGTACGCAACGCTGGTTGAGGGCCAGTGCAAACACTTTTTCATAACCGGGAGTCCGGTCCTTCCATCCTCCGGCTCCCTCTGTTGGCAGATGGAGGGACCAGGCCCCAGAGTCATGGACGGGCTCCAGTTCAAAGTCCCCTTTCTGACCCGAGAGTCCGACTCTTCCTCTTCCCAAGCGCGGGTACTGCAGCCCTGGTCAGGTACCTTTGACCTCTTATTGGTAGATACGCGCCTTGTAGAGAAGTCACCTTTCTGTTCTTAGCCCTCAGGGCTCCAGCCCTTCTTGTCAGGGCTGTTTTCTTGGCCCCTAGCCACTCAGCTCCTACTGCCCCACTCTCCTTAGGGTGCCTGTCAGTAGCTGCCCCCCTCCCCCAGTCCCCTAAAGAGGACTCATCACACTGAGAGGTGCCCTCCTCTGCACCCTTTTGGGTAACTTGCTATCATCATCCTACAGGGTCAGTCTGAGGGAGCCTCTGAGAGCAGAGCTGAAATGGGTTTCAACCTGTGCAGTTTTCTTGAACATGCTTTTTTGAGAATTTTAATCTCTTCTGACAGTAAGTACCAATGTGTTAAACTAAACAAATTTTGCATTAGTCATTTTCCATAATCCCACTCCTTCCATTATGAAGACCCAGCGAGGCGTCATTCATGAAGACTTCCAGCAAACTCACGATTTTACTGCCTGCTGGGCTAATTCCATCCTGCCATGTTACCAACACCCACAGCGCCAACTCCCTTACCTGTGTTCTTGGCTCTCCAAACTTGTTTCTATTATACCCCACTTCCTGAAAAGCTCTCCATACATTATGTAAGCTTTATTATAATTCTGATAGTTATGGCATTGTAAGATATCTGTAAAATGTAAAAAGTATAGCAAAGACATTTAAAATAAATGAGTTTTTAAATAGTAATGGTATAAAAAAAATCCATTAATTCCACTGAAAATATTTAGTGACCTCACTATGACTGACTAGATTTCATAGTTTTAAAAGCTTTAATTCTTTAAGATACACTTATTAAAATATCTGATTCAGTGTTCAGGATATTTCTGTAGTTGGTTTTAATAGCTGTCGAAAGCTGGAAAAGCTAATGCACAAAGATTTTGATCCTAAATTAAAGAAGTACATTTTCAACTATTCTTACTAATACAATACTCGCGTTTATTTGCTCCAACCTCCAGCCACACAAAGGGTTTTGTTGAAGTTCAGTTACTAGTTTTCCATCTTTCCTAATGTCAACCAGAATTTTTATGTTTTAACAGGCTTGGGCTGTGGTCATAACTTAGTGGTAAAGAACTTTCCTAGCATTCAGGGGGTTGTGGATTCAATGTCAACTACCTTCTTCCAAAACAATCAAATACCTACTCCTAAAACATGCAACAAAATTAAAAACAAAAAATCCAGATAGGCTAAAAATACATTAAATATACTGCTCAGATTTCTAAAAAGGTTGAAAAAATCTGTCTTCATGTTTAAGTGTACATATGATGAGTTTGGGAAGAGTGTTTAAACAGTTTTTAAAAGTATGTTTTATTTTATGTGTATCTGAGTGTATGGTCACCGCCTTCGTGCAGCTTACAGAGGTTGGAAGAGGTACTGGACCCTCTGGAACTTGGTGTTATGGACAGTTGTGAGTTACCAGAGTCCTCTGCAAGAGTAGTGAGTGCTCTTAACCATCTCCTCAGCCCCCAAATTTAAACTTTTGAGACATTCATTCATCTTGGAATTTTAAGAAATACTTCATTAAGATTCTCTTTGACAGCCTGGTCTGGAGAGAGAGAGAGAGAGAGAGAGAGAGAGAGAGAGAGAAGAGAGAGAGAGAGGAGAGAGGAGAGAGAGAGAGAGAGAGAAAGAGAGAGTGTGTGTGTGTTCCACGACAGCTAGGGTTACACAGAAAAATCCTGTCTCAAAAAACTAAAACCAACTAACCAAACAAAAAGATTCTCTTGACTATTGAAATGTTGATACCAGTGTAAACTTGTTCTAAAGGCAAATAACTCAACTTGCCTCTCCATAGTCTCCTTGGCTAGTGCATACATCATTTTGGACCAAATGACAAACTGGATGTGTTTCCAAATCGGTTTCAAGCATGCCACTCCTATAACTTTACTGAGCTGGCTTCTGTAGAAGCCATGCTAGAAGTGTGGTGCCGGCTAGATAGCCCTCTATTTCATTCACGATTACACTGTTATCTCCAAGTAATGACCTCTTTCTTGAAATCCTTTCTGTATTCTTTCATCTTGATAAGAGTTGATTTAATGAAATAATAATATAATGAGTTTCTTAGTCAGGGATGCACTGCTGTGGAGTATTTAAACACTATCTGAAAATGTATTTCAGTGATTGGTATAATAAAAAGCTGAATGGCCAATAGTTAGGAAGGGGTTGGATGGGAATTCCAGGGACAGAGAGTACTCAAGGAAGAAGGACAGAGTCATCAGTAGACAAAGAGGAAACAGGAGGTGCAAGATGAAAGGAAAAACAAAACATGAGACAAAACATAGATTAATATAAATGGGTTAATTTAAGCTATAAGAATTAATGGGACAAGCCTAAGCTAAGGCTGAGTAGAGCGTCACAAGAGACACAGGCAGTGGAGAGCTATACGGAAAAAGTGCTTCTGGACACAGCACAGCAGCTGCACATAACAACCCAGAACAGTTGGGACAGCATGCTCTACACCTGCTTTTTGATTTTACTGGGGGTTACAGTTAAAGAGATTGCCTTGAGTCTCAGGAAAGACTGGACTTTTAAATTGTATTTAGACTGTGAAAGACAATGGAGACTTTTGAAGTTGGACTCAGTACATTTTGAATTATGATATAGCCAAGAGCCCATGGGGATAGGGAGTGGAATACGATAGTTTGAATGAGAATGGCTCCATAGGCTCATGTATATGAATACTTGATTTCCAGTTGGTGGAAATGTTTGGGAAGAATTAGGAGGTGTGACCTTGTTAGATGATGTGTCACTGGGATTAAGCTTTGAAGTTTCAAAAGGCCATGGGAGCAGGTGAGATGTCAATGTCCTATTTAGGGCTGAGGCTTCTGCAGTCTCTGAAGGAAGGTTAATCTTAAAGTAGTTCAGGCAATGTAGAGTGTCTTGAGTGTTCACTAGGCAGAGTGCCTACCAAGCATGAATGAATCCCAGCACTGCAGTGCACACCTGTAATCTTGGAGAGTGAGTTTGAAGCCATGAGGCTTACAGGAGGCACTATCAGAGGGAGAGAGAGAGAGGGAGAGATGGAGGGAGGGAGGGAAGGAGGGAGGGACAGACACACACACACACACACACACACACACACACACACACACACACACAGAGAGAGAGAGAGAGAGAGAGAGAGGAACACAATTCATTTATTATGGTCGGTTCCTACTAAGTATCTCTAAGGCATTAAGGCATGCATTGGTCATTCTGATATAGGCTTAAGTGTAAAGGTAGAGAACTGGTATTTTTCTGCATTACTGAATAAAGAAGATGAAAAATAATGATATCAGAATTGTGTGTCTAAAGTTCAACAGATATTTGTTGAGAATTTTCTCTTTCTTTTTCTTTTTCTTTTTCTTTGTGTGTCTAAAGTTCAACAGATATTTGTTGAGAATTTTCTCTTTTTTTTTCTTTTTCTTTTTCTTTTTTTTTCTTTTTTGAGACAGGATTTCTCTATGTAGATTTGTAGACAAGGCTGGCCTCAAACTCACAGAGATCCACCTGCCTCTGCTCCAGAGTGCTGGGATAAAGGTGTGTGCCACCATGCTTGGCTTTTGATAGTTTTCTGATGAGGATGCCACCAAGGTCTGTGGGAGATTAGTGACTAAAAATGTTCTCCACACTCAGGCAGCTCACACTGGCTTAGCACTAGACAATGTGTAAATCTGGAAAACTGCATCAGGGCTCACAACTTGATGAGAAGAGCCTGGTCTGTAGGCTTCCACAGACAGACCATAGCCTCATAGCCAAACCTCCACAGACAGAGCATAACTAACATGGCCACATAACAACAACCCTACTTGTAACTAAAACAAATCACCAAGATGAAAAGGTATAGTTGTTGGGGGTGAACATGGAATCCTGAGAATAGGGAAACAGGATCTGTCAGATCATGACCCAAATGATGGTAGAACTTTTTAATGAGAGAAGGGGGCTCCTTTACCTGTGACTCAGTCTAGGTCATGTGTGTGATGCAGTGGTCAAGATTAACTAACCTGAATGCTGACAGCTCCTATAAATAGGCAATGAGAGCCATTCCTGGAGGTGGGAGCTGCTTGGAAGAGCCTCAGAAGTAGATCATAAACGTTATCCAAAGTCTTCACTGCCATGTTGAAGTCTTAGGCACTTTTTGGTGATTAGAATAGGTTATTTGAGTAGTTTTAAAAATATTTCATAGTAGTTTAGGAAATTCTAACATTGTTTACAAGTGGAAAGTGACAATTTTATCATAAAACTGTTAACCACACCGACCCTCATTTCCCAGGAAGAAATGACAACAAAATTTTGGAGCATAAGATTGCTGAGCCTTCACAGAAAATTAATTATCTGTTCATGTCTTGGGAAGCAGTCTCCAAATTTATTTGACCTGTTGAGTATTTGGGAAAATATCCATAAATGTTGGTTTGTTTGTTAACTCAGTACATGTCGCAAGTTTTGGCTTCTTAGCTTCCTAAGATGTCTGAGAAAGACAGTGAACCAAGAAAGAGAAATATTTTGTTATAATTTTTTTGGTTTCCTTGTTCACAGGCAGCAGAGTGTGTTGGTGACAGGCACTGAGTGAGGACAGACCATTGCAGTGCAATCACTGCTCTGCTACTAACTTAAATTGCTTTCCATTTTTCTCAAGGCTAAGTAGGAATCAAAGTGTGGTGTTCATGATGGTGAACTGGGAGAGATGGGCACTTAGTGCCTGGCATCCACTGAGCACTACATAAGTCCTTGACACTGGTGGAATTATGTCCAAATTGGTTCTCCAGGTAAGAATCTTTAAAATTTGCTTTCTTATTTGTGAGGGCAGACTAGTTAAAAAGCAGATAATGTAATCTGTAAATCTACCTCACTGAACTCTCAGTGACTCTTTTGCTGAAGAAGAGTCATTTTCTATTTTCCTCACGGGACCTGGGTACAGTTCATGCCAAGAGGCCACCAGATAGGTGTGCCAAGTGAGTGTGTTGATCCATGCCAGCAATTCTTAATGCTTCTTCTTTTTTACAAAAAGTAAATATGTATGTGTGCTTATTTGTGTATATGTATGCATTCAAATACACATAAGTATATGAGCATATGTATGTATGTGCATATGTATGTTTGTATATGTAAGTATGCATGCATATGTAGGTACACACATATGAACATGCACATACATTTATAAACAGGAAAGTATGTGTTTTTGCATATATGCCCATTTGTCTAAGAGTATGTGCATGCATAGATTTTAATGAATCCAGATCTGTGTATAGGTACATATGTATTTATTTGTATACATGTATATACTGGTGCATCTATGTATTGTATATACATAAACATGCACAAGTTTTGTGAGTATGTATATATAAATTATGTATGTATATATGTATGTATGTATATATGTGTGTATGTATGTATGTATAGTAGAATCCAAGTACACTAATATCTTCTTACCCCTTAATGGATTTTCTGTATTTCTTGTGATGTGCTCAGTCACTTCTGTTTTGTGACACAGTTTCACCATGTAGTCTTGGCTGGCCTGTTGCAGAGATGCACCTGTTTCTGACTTCAAGTACTGGAATTACTTGAATGTGTGTGCCAGAACACCTGGCTGATGTACTTGATCTCTTTGGAGGCCCCTGTGCTCAGAAATCTATTGGTGAAATCTGCCTGAGCCTTGGGTAAGAGAGAAACATAGGGACAGGAAAAGGGCAATCAGAGCAAAGGAAACCTGGCCAAATCCCAAGAGGCAGATAGCTGTAGGCAGAATCTTGCTGTGAGGGCTCTTCCTACACGAATCAGTGAGGGCCTGAGTTTCAGATACAGTGTGTTCCAGAAGTACAGATCCACTTGGCAAGGATGTATTTACTGACCACTACTCTACCCAGCACTGTGCTAAAGATGCTGGCACTAAATGGTCATTTGTTGAAGGAGTTAATGTTCTGATAGAAATGTCTAACACCAACAGATTCACTCAATCAAAATTATTTTTATACTGTAAATATGTAAATATACATACAATTCATACATAAGTGCTATTACTCCAAATACAGAAGTCTTCAGAGGAAAGACTTCCTGGACGAAGAAGGTAATACTTGGGAGTAGTATTGAAAAGAAAAATTGTTTGCTTAGTTGAATGGTAAATAAACAAAAGTCTTGAAATGCTTGTTAAGATATTATAAATATAAACGGGGCCACTGCAGACATGAGTATGTAAGTTTCATGAGGATTTTTGTATGTTCTTGTTTACTGCCATGTGCCTGATGCCTACAATAATAATTGATACATAGTGAGTTCTCATTTCTTAACACATACTGATTAAAGAGACTGCATGTGTAATATTAGGTGGGAGTCTATATTTTCCTTTTGAGTCAGAGTGAGCATTATGGTGACACTGAACTTAATCTAGTGCCAATTCCAGAGAGACCAAGTAACCAACTGGAGACAGTCAGGAATCCAGGCTAGAACTGCAGTGGGACTCCTCTGTTTTCTGACTCTTAGCCCAGTGCTGTCGTCATGATCCAATGGCACCTCCTCAAAAATACCAGATGGCCACAGTCCATCCTCGATATTCAGACCTTCTCCAGAGCCAGAAACAAATCTGACTCCAGAAGGCTGCAGGAAATGAAGACAGCTAGGGATTTTTCAGTCCAACTGCTGTCTGTGCTGTGGTTGGCTTCACTTGAAACCAGTGGGTCCAGTTGCTCTGAGTTCCCCTTTTTTTTTGGAGTGAGGAAGAACAAAGCAACATTTTATCCTCAGGTGCCACAAAGCTTACATAATATAAACACAAGCTCTAACCACTTCACTTCTCAAGCAAACCAGCTAGGATGAGAATAGCCCAGTTTCAGGCACAGCATTTAACAGAAATGTGACCTTAGTATAAAATGTAAAATTACTATAAACTATATACCATGTATTATAAAGTGTACTGTGGTTTGCATCCATACCTCACTTAAAATGTGTAAGACAGAATATCTATGAAGTTTTATAGTCAATTTTCCATGTAAGACACTGTCACTGCTCTCAAGGCTTTTTGTATGTGCCATAAGTCCCATTCTTTTTTCAGAACCAATCAACCAACATTCCTCCATCTCTGACTCCCCCCCTCCCTTCCTCCCTCCCTCCCTTCCTCCCTCCCTTCCTTTTCATCCCTCTCCCCCTCTTTTTGGGCTGCTGAGGATGAGGATTAAACTCAGTGCCTTGTGCACTCTATTGCTGAGTTACAGCTCTGTCTCTGTTATTTATTTTTATTTTGAGGCAGAATCTCTCTAAAATTGCCCAAACTAACCTTGAATTTGCTCTGTAGCCCATGTGAGCCTCTATCTCTTGCCTCAGCCTCCTGAGTAACTGGTATTAGATGCCTCTGCTACCACTGTTAGATGCCATAGTTCTGAAGTGCATGCTTTGAATAATCATAATAAATACATGTAGGACATGTATTCAAGTTCAATGTAAATATGCATGAAGTGAATGTATATTTTCTCAATTGTTGCATTTTATATAAAATGTGAGGCTTCAAGAACTTAGAATTCTATAGTTACAGTTATACATAAAATGGGCCTTTCCCCAATTCTGTTTAGTCTCTGCATAAATATCATTGTTTCAAAGAAAATAATCCTGTCACTTATTTAAATTAGAGAATTTCTTGAGTTTAACCAGTTATTTCCACCTTTTAGCCTTAAATTCATATATAAATAACACTGACTTTTCAAGCTTTAGTTTGGCAATCTGTCCTACTAAACTTACCTTAGAACAGTCCACTTTTTCCAGCTTTATCAGCACAAGCTAGGCCAGCCTACTATCATCTCTCATTAAGATTAAGTGGTTTCCTGTCTTCTAATAACTATCCACATAGCAGTTAAAATGCCTTTTTTTATATAAAGAAAAATATTTGGGGCTGTACAGATGGCTCAGCCACTGGAGTGCCTACTATTCTTGTAGAGAAGCTGAATTTTGGAGTCCAGCACCCACAGTGGGTGGCTCACAAACACTTGTAATTCCAGCTCCTGGGAACCCAACACCTCTGGTCTCTTCAGGCACCTGCAATAACCTCATAAAGACATACACACATACATTTTTTTAGGTATAAAAAAAGAAGGAAGGAAATACAGAAAAATCATGTATTAGTTACCTTTCTTAATTCTGTGATAAATTCTTAAGGGGGAGAAGGGCTTATTTGGGCTTACAGTTTGAAGGAATACAATCTGCCATGATGGGAAAGACATGGCAGCAGAGGATGAGGCAGATGGTCACATCTACACTCAGGAAGTAGCCAGAGCACAGGAAACAGAGCTGCCCTATACAACCCCAAAGCTTGCCCCTAACAACCCACTTCCTCCACCAATCTCGCTCATAAAGTTACACAACCTCCCAAAAACAGTGCTACCACCTGGGGACCAAATGTTGGAACAGTTGAGCTGGTGGGGGCCTTTTAAATTCCAATAAGTCATCTTATATCACCAGCTTTCAAAAATTTCTATGCCTCATCTGCTAAAGAGCAAAGCCTCTAGCATGGCCAACAAGTCTTGCGTGACCTGTTCCCTCCCTGTTTCTTGGCTTCCTTGAGGGTACCCATCTCCTTCATATTTACATTACAGCTCCATTCTTTAGTTCTCCAGAGAATCTAGCTTTTGCCTTCACCAGAGCTTCTACACGTGTTGTTTCTGTTTCTGGGATGTTTCTTCTATGGCACTTGCCCCTGCTCCACCCATCTCCTTTCCATAGTTTTCTTTATTTTAAAATAGTATATATGGCATATAAAGTAGTCATCGGTCTCATTATAGGGGAAGGGCATTTAGGTTATCCTCTCCACCATTGCCTAGATTGTCAGTTCGTGTTATCCTTGTAGGTCTCTGGAAATCTCCCTAGTGCCA